AGCATTCGGGAAGCGAGTAGCGCTAAATATTCGATATATTATCAAGACTGACAAATCCGAGGAGAATATATGAAAACTAGAGATCAGAAGCCGAAACGTCAATTAGCATTGCATCACAAACAAGTCGGTTCACTTCATTACAGACTGTCCCTATCTACTACAGACGGTAGTTGCGTGATAAGAGCCGCTGTTAAATAAACAAATCTATAAATCGATGTCATTAACATAAACAAATTCCTCCGGTATTTTCGCAAATTAAATTCATGTTAATTTTTTGAAGAACTCATGTATAATTATGTTAAAACCGGATGTAAGAAGCAACCGACTTATTTCTATGCGGATTAGCTCTTTAGCTCTTTTGCCGAGAAATAAACAGCTGAATAAATTTTGGATTATTTACCATCTCGATCGCCCGGGTGCTCGCTAGACCAATTAGCGCGAGTGATTAAAACCGATCAGCCGAGGGACGCTCGCGCCGAACGTATATGTATTGTATTTTTCCCCGACAATTTACCGTAGCAATTATCTAATTAGCTACGCGGTTCCGCGCTAAATAACGTACGCTACATATAACGACTCACTGGGAGTTTTCATCCTGTAACCTGTTCAAAATTAAAGCGGTTCATTCGCAAGGCAATCTCGATTCGTTCGCCGCTCACGCGTCTAAAAAGGAGCTAATCGCTAACTACGAATCGTTACATACTTATTCGCGTCGTCAGTTAAATCCGCGCAAATTCACACGCATGTGTTCATCAAGCGACGTTAAGCGTTTCAACGCGATCGGTTCCGATTAGGATCAGTAATTGGCCGATCGTCGTTGTCCTCATCACGATCGTAGAGCGGCGACGCCGTACAAGAAAAAACGATTAGATTTATAGATATATAGATCTTTCCTCGCAAAAAATTTAATAATTATATATCTTAATATGTATATCAACTACTCTCGACTATATGTAGATCGATAGAATTTAGTTTCCATAAAACTTCTCTCTCCTTCCATTTACTTTACGCCTTAATCTAGCCACAAAAAATAGCGTTGCCTTTACTATACACATACTTTATTATACGAGTCTTATGATTTTCACGAAGTATCTGAGTCCAGACGTACAATCACCGTCCGAAATCAGAAAACTCCACAGGCTTCCGGTTAACGGACGAGGCAAGAATATTATTTATCTCGAGGCCTTATTATTATTGTTATTCATTATTATTATTTATCTGTCGCGAATCCAGTCAAGTCGACGTCGCTGTGTTAATCAGCGTCTTAATTGCTAATTCATTATCTTATCCTTATTACACAAAAGTCTAACGTTAAGAAAATCGACATCAATTTTTTATATTTGCAATTTTAATAACTTTTCATTTTTTTATCCGTTTAATCTATATTTATTTATTTGCTTACGATGTATATATTTATATATATATATATATTAATTTAGTTATCCGATGATAATTAACACAGTCAGAGGCTAACACTATATACAATCACAACCAATTCAAAAATTATTTCGAAGCCTTACTTTAAAATCGTTTCGTGATAGATCGACCTTATCAGTAACTGCAATAACACATCCTTTCAATATTTCCAAACGTTTTATCTCAATTTTTATTGGTGTATATAATATCTATGCGATCCCAGTTCTACATAGAGCACGAGCTCGCAAAAGCCGGTCGATTCTATCTCTCATAGATTCTCAAGCGACGTCGATTCGAAAGATCCTCGAAAGTGTGTGTGTGTGTGTGTGTGTGTGTGTGTGTGTGTGTGTGTATGTATGTATGTATGTGTGTATTACATACATTTACACACATATAAATATATGTATATGTATTTATATAAGTATATATATACATATATTTACACAAGCATATGTATGTACGCGCGATTTTCTTTTTGCAGTTTGGACGCACACTTCGTCGGGATTATTCTAATAAAGACGCAAAAGGGCCCGCACAGTTCTCTCCTCTCTCTCTCTCTTTTCTTTTCGCAGCTGATTCGCGTGTAACGTAAATGCGGCAACACGTTTACCTTAAGGTATGGACGAGGATGCGTGGGCACGCACACACGCATACACACACATGTGCACGACGTGCGAACGCGTCCAGCGGCGAGTCGAGTCTCGTGCCTCGTAAAAAGTTAAAAAAAAAAAAGAGATAAAGAAAAAAGAACGCACACACAAAGACGCATGGATATGCGACGAACGAAATTAGAGAAATGTTCGTCATGGAAAAGGCGGACTGACCGCGATTTCCCTCGATTATTTTGGGTCCCTCGTTCCCCCCCTCCCACCCCCCTTTGTCGTTAGGACGAATTGAGATTACCCCGGCCACGGGCCCGTTACTCGTCTCTGGACGTAATTATACATATACATATATATCTTTATTTCTATCGACATGTACGTGAAGTATGTATGTACATATATATCCGTTTTCCGCGATCATTCTGTCGTTTCTAAGTCCCTCGGCACCCACCTATTGTCTTTCCCTCTCTTTCTCGCTCGCTCGCATGTAGTAGGTCTTACTAAAGGATTAAAAATCGTAACGGGTAATCTATTAAACACTAAGAACGATAATAGCGTTCTTTAAATACATCTCTCTCCTTTCTGCGGCTGTGTGCTATGTTTCCTTTAATTGTAATTACGTTATAGCGTCCCATTACACATATTAATAGAAAGATAAATTCATTAGTGTCGTATTTCCTGTAGTAAAATATATAAACGGTAATGTAACATGAGCGTATGTGTCCTCCGCAAAACCTTTCGCAAGAGATATATGTATATATATGTATAGTACATAGTTACGTATCAACCCTGGACCTTAAAGCGCTTAGTGAAAAATCAGGGGGCCTGTCTCGATCGACTAAAGACGAAAGACAATTGCTATACGAGAGAACGATGTTATTCATCGACGATCGGGATCTCGAGAGGACGAAGAACTCGGCTGCTGCTTCCGTTCGATTCGTAGGACCCGAGGTGAAGGATCAATCGCGCAAACCGCAAACGACCGCATCGAAGCTTGTATTTTAAGAAGAACTGATATATCATTTTGCAAATTAGATCCGGGTCCGTTTTTTACCGCGCGAATATAATGATTTTCTTATTAACACAATCTTGTTTTTTTTTGCACAAGCTCTTACGTAATTTTCTCTCGGACCGCAAAATTCGATAGGTTCTAGATTCTTTTTAAGATACCTCGGTCACCCGATGAAATCATCGAATAAAGAGATCAAAGCGGAAGCCTTTCTACCTACGTTCAGCCTTTTGCGCGTCGTCATGTGAACACTCAGAATTTATGTATCGCGCTTACAACACGTTTCAAAAATACGTGCGACATTCCCGCTTTGATCCTTCCCCTTCGCTCGGGTGTCATCAGTTCATTGGCGTGTCTCGCTACATAAATGCATCTTTATCAATGTGTGGATGAAGATGCATCTACGTTGCTCGGTTTTCTGAAACGTATCGATGCCTCTTCGCTCTTACGACGGTAATGATAACATTATGCAGCCTGAAGATCGCGGCACGGCCTTTTGGTTATTATGTACTTGAGAAAAATTTTCACCCTATATACACATTACGCAAAAAAAAATATATATATACATATATATTTAAATACATATACATGTACGATTTATATACATACACATATACGTGTACATATGTATATGTATATACTTCCATGTTTCAATTTTATATCATTTTCAATTTTCATTCGACTTAACGTACGAGTTACTAAAATGCTGCCGACATGGAAGCAAAAAAAATATCATTCGACTCACATTTCTCGTACTCGTTTTTTGCTTCTTCTCTCTCACGCTGATATATTAAATTTTGATTTAACGCACAATCTATAAACAAACAAGCTTTCACGTTGATTAACTAAGCAAGCTCGTCGAGATTACTCCCGAGACGCACGCAGAACGCATGTATTATGTAAACTTGTACATTATTATTTTTACTATTTTAGACGTAATTGTATTCGACGACCTATACAAGTTGCAATTAATGTTTATCGCCGAGTAATTAACGTAATCAATGTGTCGTTGATAATGGCAACTAATTCCGAGACTTAACGTATAGACACGGTTAATTATTTCAATAAGTTGGCACCTGTTCCGGCCATCCGCGTGAATTTCTCTTTCGTAATTAGGCGCACGGTTTAAACCTACATAAATACAATCATTAATAACGAAATGCGCTCCGCGACATGCTAGATTCGCTATTCGAAATCTCCAATTCACAAATAATTTTTTTCGCTCATTCTTTTTTAACGAGAGATGCACATATATAAATCACGTATAAAAAAAACAACGCAACAAAATTTGAACGACATATTAATGCTAAAAATGTACGCTGGTTCCGATTTTGTAATTTCCGATTACTATCAGCCTCGCTTCTTACTACCACCACGCTTCTGGATATTTTCGGCGGGCTGCCAGTTGCGATTTGTAGTTATAATTCTATCATTAAGTATCCTCCGATGACTACATTTTCTTCTTCCTTTTTAGCAATATACACTGACGTTAACTTTTGGCATGGCGCCAAAGTAACGGGTGACAGTATAAAAATCGTTCACAAGATGTTCAAGTCGAAATTCTGAAATAAGTCACCATACAAATCAATATTTGTTACGTATAAAACAAATGTTAATTCGAAAGAAAGGAATAGCCTACTTAAAAAAAAAAAGAAAAAAGAAAAATGCCTGTATCCGTTGAATTCGTTGTTCGCGTCGCCATTTAAATAAAAGAGGTGGAAAGCGACGAGGAGGAAAGCGAAATGAGCTCGCTGCCTTTTATAGATAACGGAAGGCTTAATTCCGCCGACGGTCGACTCATCTCAGGCTCATCTCTGGTAGATTAATTTGTCGATCGATGAGCGCCGCGAGTGGCTCGGATGTGACGCGAAGGGGTAGATAGGGAGTACGACGCTCGACTTTTACTTAAGAATATCATTAAAGCTCGATTGTAGGAATTCGCCACGATTCGCGAAGCGACGAGTCGGCGTTAATTTTTTTTTTTTTTTTTTTTCAAAGCGAGACACGCCGAATCGTTAATGTTAATAAGTGTTTTCTCAGTTTTCTGTTAATCGAAATTGCGATGCGGTAAAAAGACTCGAAAGAACAGGTCTCGACGAATCATACCGAAATTTAGATTTACATTTCTCATCATCTTTTCAATTACTTTATTACACCTCAAACATGTACAGAGTATCTGACTATATATAACAATAACATTTCTATATATCCATCAATCTCTCTTATCCTACGTTGCACAATACCCTAGCATATAGGATTTCGTCAAGATTTAGAATTGGATCAAATGAAAATCCGCCACGACGCGGCATGTCGAGTGTGATCCAATAGCGAATTTCGCGAACGTCCGATCGACGGATAATTTAAGCTCCCCGTTTATGCCAGGGGGGGATGCCGTTCCCCCGTTTGCGGAAACTCATCGTTCTATAATCGAACGGGCCACGGAGATACGCGAGATACGCGAGAGAGGCGTCTGGGAAGAAGGAGAAGGGACGTGACGGTGGAACAGGCGGTGGTAGTAGAGCGATAGGCGATAGGCCGGCAATAGAGGCACTCCGGCCGCGCCGGCGGCTGGATCTCCTTAGCATTAACACGCGATATACCTGAAAAACCAGTTTGCGGGCTTTTTATTAGGCCTTTACTTTCGCTCGCGAACTGAAAGTAAGAGTGAGCGAGCGAGCGAGGCAAACGAGGCCTGTTAGCGAGCGAGCTAACTAATGGGGTCACCAGTCGATACGGATACGCACGTAAACGGAGACGGAGACACACATACGTACACACACGCACGCACGCACGCACCCGTATACACGCGCACACGCAGAGACGGACACGTACGCGCGCGGATCTACACGGAGAAAGACATAAGGAAAAGAGGAGAAGATAGAGAAGCGTACGTAAAAGTACGCACATATTTTGCACGTGCACATGTACAACTTGCGTGTATACATGTGTCCACTTACGCGCACGCGAGACCCCGAGTGCCACGTCCGCCGCTGCCTCCGCGTATGTATAACGCGCGTATACACACGCGGATGCATGCGCGCGCGCGCGCTTGTTACTGAATGTTTACGATATCTAATAAAGAAAAATGCAAGCTCAGTTGCCGCGCCACGAAAGAGAGAAAGAGAGACCGGGTCTGTTACGTCGTGCCGATCAGCCGTGATTCGTGATATTACCCCCTTTGTTCGACGCGAATCGCGTTCCGTTCAACGTACACGGAGGACGAAGTAGTTTTGCATTCCCTTGTTCTCTCACTTCTATCTCATCCTCTTTTTCTTTCGCTCGGTCTCTGTCTCGTGTCCCTATCTCCAATCGTCATCCTTTTCTTTCTTTTCTTCGAACGTGTGTGCGCGCCGCGAGTTTCAGGCTGCAGAAATGTGCCACCTTCCAAAACGAATGTTCAGAGGACCCGTGATTAATTTCTCCGCGCGCGGGACGTCGCGCCGACAACCGTAGTTTCTTTTAACGATAGATAATACGTGAGTAAATAAAGAGGAAAAAAAAATAACGTGATAGATGCGGTGGTTTTCCGATGGGAGTGGACCAAAGTCTTCGCTCGGCGCGCGCGCGCACGCGCGGGAATGTGACGCGGATTTCGGGCGAGTTACGGCGCGATATGCGATTGTCGAGACAATGGCACTGGATGACAGCGTTATACTAGAATGAGAAACGTATCGACGTGTTCTGACATAATACAACATATTACGACAAACATTACGAAAAACGGTTTTCAAATACTCCTCGCTCATCCTCGACATATCTCGCCGTGACTCGAATTACGCTGCACGGTTTTCCTTCTCGTCACGCGGGGTTCATATATTTTGCTCTCGTAGGGAGAGAGAGGTCTAATCATCCCCCATTAAAATGCGATTGCAGCCACAATTTCCTTTTTAGCGCTGTGTGCCGCTTCGGCCACTCATGTAGTATTTATCGCCCAAGAAAAGCACGGTCGGTCGGACACGTCCGGTGTACGTGGATATGTGAATACACGCGTCTGTGTGTATGTGTGTGTGTATATATATATTTGTATCGTATTTACGCTCGCTCGCAGAAATGAAAGAAAGAAACGCGGCTCGGAAGCGTTTCCCTCTCGATTCGCGCGCACTGCCCGTGCTTGTTCCCTTTCCGGCGTGCCGGCCGTGCTACCCCGCTAACATCATCTTCCCGAGTTAAATCTTATCACGTTATACACAGTATCTAAATGAAATGTGTTCACAGCCACACATTAATTATTTATACATAAATTTATACATATATCTGTATATATTTAAATATATTTATATTTATATATATATGTATATATCTTTTCGTATCCCTCAACGTGTTTCCTCCCTCACCAAAAATACCCCTTTCCATTCCTTCCTTCGCTTTCTGTCTCTCGCCCCCTGTTGTCCGGCACGCGATCGACTCCGCGATAGAAACGGAAAGCAAACGAAAGATCGAAACAGGGGGGATTGCGTCTCGCACGAGCTGTCCGTTCATTCGACCACTCTCTCCTGTCTTCCCTGTTTGTACGAAGTTCCGCCGTGGTATATTCCGCCTCGCGTCCACCTTCGACTGTTTCTTCTTCGTTTCCGCTTCCTTCCTGACATGGCCTCGTCCAGAATTCGCTGTACGCAACGTCGAGGTCCGTTCCGTCGACAAACGCTCGTTCCGGGACGATGCCGACATCTGTTCTCCAAAAATTCGTGTTTAGTCAATAAAAGCGGCGCTCGTTCCATTAATCTAAGACCGTTCTTGCTCTTTTATTTTTACGGTTTTATGTCCGTCCTTTTGTTATAACTCATTCGGAGGAACCGTCTTTTCCATCTTCCTAGTCTTCTCCGATCTCTCTTTTTTTTATTTTTATTTTTAGGCACAACACATCGTTTCTGGAGTCTTTATAGTCTTTTTTTTTGTTGCTTCACACTGCAACTGTAGCCGGTATACCAGTGGTTCGGTCCTAACTTCGCTGCAGCGACTGCCACCGAGTTTATGTTTACGAATGCCTATATAGAAAGAGCAGCACTCGCGATGGCGTAGACTTGCGATGAGAATACTCCGCGCCCCATACTTGCCTACACCGCTTCTCACATCATCGACGATATCATACGTTCGTCGTCCGAGCACGCCGCCTTTTCGATCCACGATTTTGTTGTTGCCGCGTTTGCCGACTATCATCCTCGATGCCGAAGAGATGACGTCTTTCGTATACCGCTTCTGTATCCAAGCATCCCGCATCACCCCGACGAACGTCAACTGAGGAGTTTAGATTCTTTGACGTTGGACACGGAATGATCGATGTTCCCCTCCGCGTTCTTTGGCACCTCGCAAGGACCACAAGCGCAGCAAAAGTCCCCGGGATCTTCCAGAGGGCAATAGAGGCCGTAAGAGCAGAGGTAACAGAATCCGCACTCGTATCTCTGATTGTACCAATGATTGTAAGAATCGACGTGATTGAGTCGGTTAAAGCAGCAACAATCAACGATCGTGGTGGCGTTAGTGATGGAATCGGTGGTAGCGGTGGCGACGTCTACGGATACGACGTTATCGCCGATATCGTCGCATCACGAGGAGCACGCCATCCAGTTGCAGGTGCACGTGTAGCACGCCGTCGTGGGTATCACCGGCGCGTAGTAATAGCCATTGGCGTAAACGTAGGTGGCAGGCGGACCTTGCGGTGCCTGCTGATGACTCGTCAGCCGCTGCTGCTGCTCCTGGCAGAGCACTTGGTAGGCAAGGTTCTGGATCAGGGCGAGTGTCTGCCGTCGCTCGTGGCCCATCAGGCAAACGGTCGACTCTTCAACGACGCTGTGCAGCAGCATCAGGTACTGATACTTGAGGGCCTCCTCCTCGGGCCCGACGAAATGGTTCCACAGGTAGTTCTCAAGTTTGGAGCGCTGCTGTCCTATGTCCGGGAAATCGATGAAGAATCTCGAACACATGTATCGTTCGAGAGTCTTGATGTAATCTGGTTGAGACGGTTTGTACATTTTCACCAATAGGTTGCAGTATTTGAGCAGACCGCCGCCGCGTATCTCCTCGGGATGCCTCGTCGAGATGAGCTTCTTGTGCAGATGGTAGAGCGCCTCCTGGAAATCACCGTAGACGGACTCGCCCACCACGGTCGGGTAGAAGTTCTCAGCGATCGGCAGCTTGCTGCACTCGTAGAACAGCAGCAGGGAATCGAGAACGATTTGGAAGGAGTCGACGGAGAACTCGAATTGCCGTCTCATCGAATCAACGAATTTGAGCTCGACATTTCGATGGCCCCGGGAGTTGCCGAGGGAGATCAGGGACCATCGGTCGCCGTCGTTGTTCACCTTCACCATTTTGCTCACGTAGGCCTCCTTCAGACTGCAGGTAGTGATGCGTTTGCGGCTCACACCTTCCGGCAGCAAGTCGAACAGGGACCCGAGCACCGCGGCCTTGACCTTGTCGTAGTTACGGCCGCTGGACAGTTCGACCGCGAAGATAAGGTCCAGGTCGTTATAGGGCTGGGACTCGGTGGCCAGCACGTGGGAAGCGGCGCCGCCGTTCAGCCGAATGTCACGTACCCTCATGCCGGCGCCCCCGTTGCTCGGATCGGTCTCTAGCTTGCTGCGCACCACCGTCACGAGATCCCTCAGTCGGACCTCCAAGGTGGGGAAGTTCCCTCGGCCGTGAATGCTGACGACTTCGTTCATCACATCGTTGAGGCGGCGGACCTGCTCGAAACTCAGCACCGCCAACCTCTGCTGAGGATCTGGGCAATCGGTGGCGTTGCTGTTGTTGTTGTTGTTGTTATTGTTATTATTGTTATTGTTGTGGGTATTGTTATTATTGTTCGTGTTGTTATTGTTGGTCTCGTTGCTAACATCTCCATTGCTGATGCCGTTGGTTTTGCTGCCGTTTACCTGGCAGAGCGACTCCATCATAGCGACCCGACGCTGGCGTTCCTCGTCGATCTCCAGAGAGCCACACTGCAACAATCAATAAAAGACCAGACTTTTACGTGATTCTCTCTTGCAAGCGATATTTAATTATAAAACCGTACATTATAAACGTTCACATTTTCTTTGATTAATTTGATAAATTTTATGAGTTATTTATAAAGAGTAAAGAATATAAAAAATATTTATTTTCCTGTACGACTTCGATATAAATATCTTTAAAAACAATCTTTCCTGAGATTCTGATCTCTCTTCGGTAAACAGATTGTTGTTTCTGTAAAATTATGATATTATTCTTTAAATTATTATCATATTATTCGCATCGTAATCTTTTTAATGGCAGTAATAAATCTTGAACACGCATGGCATTTTTCTAAACTGTTGTATGCATCTGTGCGTCACATAAAAACAATGTGCGTATGCATATGCAGATATGCAAATTTACGTTATTACGGAAAATTGTAACTTTTTGATAAATGTGAACCGCGATAATAAAGGTCTTCGTATGCTAATGCTTTCAAAACTCGCGTGATGTTATACAATGTCACACTTTGACCCACGTGCGGAATTAAAGGTCAGATTAAAGGTGAAAAAAAGGCGTTCGTTTTTAGTGCCGTTCATCGTGCATCGCGCGAATTTCCCCGACGAGTGCATCGCCGAGCGCGCGCGCGCGCCCTTCGGCGAGTATCTATGTCATGGTGGCTCAAAGTGTACGGGTGCACGACAGAGAAATGCCACGAGGTTACGTCCGGGTACGCGCGACGTACGCGAGCCAGTCAGCATTCAAAGTCCTCCCGGCTATTGGCTTTCGTGCGCGGGTGCCGTTCAGAAAAGCGCAACAAGTCGAAGCGCCGGTACTCCCGGCCCTCCCGGCGTTAACGAGAATATCCTCTTAACTTGGAACTTCAATCGCGCGATGCTCATTCATGCGTCTTTTTAAATTATATCGAAAGTATACACGTAGGGATCTAGCGAAATATAGCTTGGGACATTGAATCCTTTAACACAGGATCGGAGCCCCGATATTTCCCATCTCGGTAAAAATACTGATAAAAGATAGTATCCGCTGTTACGAGGAGTGACGTCATCCGGAACGAATTCTAGTTCGTAATTGGCATTCCAGTTCCCGATTGCCGCGCAAGAGCTTTCATGCGGCGCCGATCTGTCGCCAGAAATCAGCCTATCGGTTATTATCTGACTTCTATGTGTGCTGTACGTGTTTTTAGATAATAGGTGTACTTCTTTGAAAGCAATTATGTCACGAACCAGATTTGTAGCAAGACGTCATGAGAGATACGACCGGGAGTTACAGTCTTTGATCTCGAGCAGCTTTTAGAAACGCGACGTGAAGTCTAGATACGCTAAATGATCGCGCAGATAAATATTCAATGTCAACAGGTTGCGAAAAAAAAGATGACCATCAGTCAAAACTTTATTAGAAGTATCGCAGCTGATCGAGGATCGCGGATGAAAGGAGTCGACGGAGACGAGAGGAGGCGCCGCGAGAGTTCTAGAACGTCCCGTGTATACCGCCGAGAAAGCTGGCGTCGAAACTTAGCGAAGGTCGCGCGTCTCGGGACGACCCGAGAAGTCCAAACTGAACTTCGGACTTGTATTAAACTGCTGAAATTAGTTCTGATTGAGTGTCACAAACGAGAATTGATTAGATAAAGTAACGGCGATAAAATGCATTTCCGGCACGTCTCTCTCTTTCGCATCATTTGCCGGAGGATTATTCAGCAACTGTCAATGAACACGCGTCATGTTTACGGATATATAAAAAAAAAAGTCGATTTATCGCTCCAGGCTCTACAATCCCCCTTTATTCGGCCCCCATGACTGACACCGCTTCGAAACAACAAAGCAGCGAGCTGTCATTTCTCTGTCAGATACTACACGCACAATCAAGATCATGGATATGCCTTTGACGCACACAAAGTAAACCGCTATTACCACTTATTGACACGGGAGTGCTGTAATGCGGAAGAACGTGACCTTTTCGAACACATCTGTTTGACACTTTCGTCTATTATTGACAGAGCGCGCACCGAGGATCAGCCCGCATTTTTCAAAACCGTCATTCGCCTCGAGCTACAATCTCGCGCTGCTCAAATCTTGGGCCTCGATCCGTAGATCGAATTTTAGCGATTGATAGATCGGGCTTTCCCGCTCGTCAGTTTTCAATGCCGTTGTTTCGTGTATTATATTACTTTCAAAACAACGAGTTCATTACGCTGATGGATTAGCAGTCCTAACTCGCATGTAAGACAACAACTTCAGCGAGACGACTTCGCACGCTTGTCAGACGTGCCGTCATAAACAGAAGGGTTAATTACTCACGGTAAACCGCCGTATTTCCCGAACGCTATATTATTTGCTTATTCTCGTACGACCCGCGAAAAGAAAACGAGCCAGCGAATCTTCAACCGGCACGCACCTCCTTTTGAAACTCCGACACGACAACAACAGAGAGAAAGCACTCGTAGCGGATTTGGAACGCACGCCGGATACGCTATCACCGCAGTCGTAATGCCTCTCCACGGTATATTGTTCCCTTAACGTTGGCACACGATAGCGTAAAGAGAGGCAGCTTCGTAAAAGACGTCCTCTCTCGTAGACGAGAATTGTGCAGATAAATCACTTTTCCGGAGCTTGCTTCACCTCCGAGAACCGTACATCGACCACTCTTGAAGCGGGGTTCAACGAGCGACGCGCTTTCCTCAGATCGACGCTCTTCAGCGGGCTGCGTGAAACGCAAGAATGACGAAGAAGCTGGTATCCACGGATCTACAGGTGCGACGCGAACAAAATGCGTTTCCCGGAAAGCGTAGTAACGCCCCGAGAGGGAGCGTAACAAAGAACACAAGGTATAAGTACCTACAAAAAAATACACGTCGGACTGAACAGGTATCACAACGTTGGGCTGGTTGCGTCGTTCCAAGAGACCCGCAGCTGATGAGGGACACCAGCGAACTGAGGCCCGCGCGAGTGAAAGGCGGAGGAGCGGCTGGACTGGTGGTGGCAGCAGTGGCAGCAGCGGCAGCAACGGCAGCAACAGCAACCGCAACCGCAGCGGCAGCGGCAGCGGCGGCAACAGCAATAGCAGCGACACTCGGGGGGTGTAGGAGGGCAAAGCCAGTACGAAGCCCTCTACTACCGCTACTACTGCCGTCACCACCGCGCTACCACCACTATCATCGCCCGCTACCATTAGCAGACGTAATCCTGGACCGTAGACGTAGATCGTGTGCGCGCATCCTCGATCGTTTCGTCTTTGTCTCTCTTATTCCACTCCGCTCCGCCTATCGCACGCGCGCGCGCGGGGGTAGTGAATGCTCGCCGGTGCTCTCTATGACGTCACGTGGAAGAACGCGGGGGTGGCTCTGAATGAAGTTCGTAGATTCGCAAGGATAGATTCGATCCAGCTTTCTCCCTCTTGGACAAGGAGCGTAGGTATCGGGGGTGTCGATAATTAGGGGTTCGATTCGCTGGGCAATTGTGAAAAACCGTGGATCAGTCGAGTTCGGCGATCTGAGCCTAATGCGGTGAAACGAAACAAAATTTCGCTTTTTCTTTCGTTCGACTAACAAATATCTATCTTTGCGGTTTGATTTGAATCGATTTCATTTCGCAAAAACGCGTAAATTCTCGTTAGACCCCGTTGGGGGTTGTAAAAAAGAGCAACTTCTACCCTTTTCGCAGTAAACGTAGATTGGAATACCGAGATATTTTTCATGTAGAATTGAGTCGCTTGCTCCTTTTTCACACGAAATATGTGGCGGAATGCGAAGCAATATGTGATATTAACTTATAAATTATTTCGAACTCAAACGCGCGCCTGGAACACAACATTTTTCCCGAAACGCGCCATTTGTCTAAATTAAAAGGTAAACCCATCTTTCCGCGAAATATCGGAGAAACATTTTTCTCATAGTGAATTGCAAACTTTGTCACAGCGAGTCTCGCGCGCTGAATGAAAAAATTATTCGAAAATGAGAGAGAATCGTCTCCTTCTAACGCTTCTCGTTATTAGATAGACGTTATTAGATTCGTGAAGTGATTTTTCGCGAGAAAATTAAATCCCGTGTAACATCGGATACCGGTGCGAAACGAAATAGGATGCAATTGTTCATTCCGGCAGCAAATGAAAGTACATCAGAGGATTGAATTGCTCCGCGGCTCGGAAAGAATCTGGCGAGGCAGGGCTCGCTCTCGGTCGCCAAGTGCCGCAAAGACGAACGGGACGTCCGGAACACCCGGTGTTACCTCGGGAAAGGCGTACCGAATGCGGGGAGCCAGAGACACGCGTCACAGACAGATATAGGTATAAACCTGTATATATTTCTGGACGCCCACGCGCTTCACGTCGGGGAGATGGCCTGGACCAACAAGGCGGCGACTCGCCAAGTACTATCGATTTTACCCCGACACCCGCCAGTCGTCAACCCACGTCAAAACCGGTCGGGGCCGTCGCGTTTACGTTACGCGCTCGCGCTATTTCGCACCGCGTAACGAGAGTACCCCCGCCCCCTGCCTCTTCCGCATTTCCCCGGTCCTCCTCGGCTGATTTGATCGCGAGGGAGAGAAATATTCACCGAGTGTTACCGCCGAGTTCCAGGTGCCGGCGTTTCGAACCGGCGGTTCTCCGCCGCGGCTCCGGCGCGGTTCCACGCCGTTTCGTTCCGCGCAGACGCGATGACATTACGAACGTCGCGCAGCGAACTTTTTCCCCTCCCTTCCCTTTTCCTTTTCATTTTCCCCCGATATCACAGATTGCGAAATAACACCCGCCTCGCCGAGATTTGCGGCGCATCGACACGGAATTCACGCCTTATTTACCTTCCGGCTGCGAGAGGCGAAGAGCCGATTATCTGCGATAAAGCTATAGCGCTCTTTTCTTTTAACGTAACAGGAACGCACGTATACAATACTTTTGTTATCACCGCGTACTTTTGATCGTGAAATTCTCAACGTTCGCCGGCCGTATATCGCGCATCTTTTGAGAACAGTTGTAACTTTTCGCGGAATGT